TGATTTTCCATAAAAGTTATACGTTATAAAACTTAATATTTTTATGGAATTTTTATATCAAATTTTTTATTGGGATAGTGCAAAACTTAGTAGTGAAATACTTTTACTTGAGATTTTAAATCAATTGGAAGTAAGTCATTTACCGGGTCAAGAGAAAGTATTATCTGTAGAATTTGATTGTTTGTGGTCATATTTTCATAATGCATACCAGACTAGTGGAAAATTTTTATACTTAGGAGACCTTCCTAATATGTATATAAGAAAATGGTTTATGTTAAATAAAATGTTAACTAAAAAAATTTATTTTTTTAGGATATAATTATCAACCTGTGATTGGATTTTATACAGTAAAAAATTCTCAATCTGTACAAAAATCTGGAAGTAATTCAAAAATAATTCATAAAGGAAATTTTGATGAATCTTTAAGACAAATGGAACATGCAATTCTGATCTCATTACTTAATAATATAATGCCTATTTTAGAAGAAGCTGATTTTACTTTGCATGTGTGTATAAATAGTGATCTAGAAACTAATTGAACTTTAACATGTATTCCTGCAATAAGTCACATTTTGCTGATCTGAAGCATATTAGCAAAAATATTCGAAAGAATCTTTGTAAATATATTATTTTTGCAATTATATATATAATATTTATAACATTAGATTTTAATATTATTTTAAATTAGTAAATAAAAAACATTCACATTAGCATCTATTTGAATAACACATAATGCAATATTTTAACTTCTGTATATTCAGTGCTGGGTTTTGAAAAAAAATAATCAAAATGATGCATCAACTGAAGAGAAAACATAATATGTATAAGTAGAAGGTTTAATTTGACATCTACTTGATGATTACAGCATATGTTGGAGCGAAGTTTGTTGGATAAAAGATAATCCAGAATTACAACTACAAAATCCAACTCTAAAAAATTATACTTCAATTGAAGTTGAGAAATTTTGAAGTGTCATCATCTCAATTTTTCGTATTCTATCAGGTCAAAGTCTCATAACTACACTTGCACCTCACATAATGAAACATTCAATAGAAAAATTCTCAAATATTTAGACAAATAAATTGATTATTAGGCTTCCTATAGCACTTAGCATGCATTAGCAATACTTGATCAAAATGATGGATTAGACATTATGATTTCAAAAGTTTGTATAGCAGCTACTAAAAAGGATTTTCACATTTTGACATATGTAATATATTAAAATTTGTTTAAGAAAAATCTCAACAAAATATAAGAAATCATAATATAATTCAAAAACGAAATGAAATAAGAAAGAAAAAGTTTTCAAATAATAAAAAGAAACTTGCCAGCTTTGATTTTGATAAGATAATTTTTATTATATATCTTTTATTTTATATAGTAGGTATATAATATTTACTTTATTATATTATAGGAATTAGTATCTTATAAAGCAAAACACTAGAACAAATTCAAAAAAATATATTTTAGCCATCTTTTGGTAACCTCTTAATAGATTTTGATGTGATAATAAAGTGTATAGTATTTCATACTTTTGCAAAGAAAAGTGCACGTGGTTTATGTGATGTTTATTCATTTTATATAGATGCAGGTTTATGAGAACGGCTAATTGATAATAAATTTGTACCTAAAGGAATATGATTAGAAACACCTAAAACAGAAGCAATAGTATTACTCATTATAAAAAAGATTTTTGAATTTGATGAATTTCAGGAAGGTCAAATGGAGGCAATAATTAACTATCTAGGTGGTAAAAATACATTTGTATCCATAAAAACTGGTGGAGGAAAAACTTTGTGTTATGCTATATCAGCTATTTATTCTGATGGATTAACTATTGTTTTTAATCCTCTTAAAGCACTTATAGAAGATCAAAAGGTTAGATAATATTTTATATGCATATTATTATTATTACTATTATACTTATTTATATTATTTTGTATTTAGTGAGAACTTATTAAAATAGGCATCCCATGTGTCACTTTATATACTAATTTATCATAAAGAGCACGTATTCAAAAAAAAATTTTTGAAGAAATAGCATATAGATTGATAAAAATATTATTTATTACACCTGAAAAATTAGTATCTAATGAAGGATTTTGCAGATTTATCACACGACTTTATGAACAAAAAAAGGTTCGCTTTATAATTGACAAAGTATATTGTATCATAGCATATTAGGATTTTAGGTAAATACAATAAACAAGCTAATATAAAATATATTTAATTAATAATACAATTATATAATTTTTGTATTTAATATATTACAGAGAAGCCTGGAGACAACTTGGCATATTAAAGCAACGTTGAAAATTAGCTCTAATTATGTTACTTACAGCAATATGTACACAATCAAAAATAGATAAAATTTGTATAATTTAAATATTAAAAAGAATAATTTTGCAATAGTTCATAATTTTACATGTTACCGACCAAAAATAATTTTTAATGTACAAGAGAGAAAAGATATCTGAGATCAATATATTACTGATATTGTTAATATTATAAATACTAATTTACTTAGACGTATTATTGTATATTGTGTAACATATTTCAGTTGTGAATATTTATATAGTAAATTACAAGAAAACTTAATAGATATTGTAATAGATTACTTTATGGTAGTTTACATAATAATGAAAGAGAAACAGTAATAAATAATTAGAAATCTAATCATACACAAATAATGGTTACAATATCTACTTTCAGAATGGGAATTAATTCATGTAATATATGTATAGTAATTCATGTAGGAATACCGATGAGTATGAATAAATATGCTAAACTTATTTGATTTATTTTTACTTTATTTTATGTTTATTATTTTTATTTTTTTATAGCTAATCTTATTCAAGAAGCAGGACGTACAGAACATGATAGAAATATAGTAACAAATTTTATTTTTTATAATAAAAAGGATATTTATATAAATTATTCTATAGTAACAGAATATCGAAAAACGTTGATACAAGTTTATATGCTATTATTATTATTACTAATTATAATTTATTTATTATTATATTACATAATTATTGTTATATATTATTATAGTACATCTATTATCAAAGAACAAAGATTGGTTGATAAATTTGAATGGGCTGCCATGAAAATTTTAAAAATTTTTTATTATTGCAGTTTACAGTATGAATGTCGTTAACAGTTAATTTAGCAATATTAAGCATGGCCAAATAAAACAAAACCATTTGTATGTAAAATATGCAATAATTGTGTTAATTGAATTGCTAATAAACTAAAATTATTTGATGGTAAAGAAGATATTAAAAAATTATTAGAAGTGGTAGAGTATCTTACCCAAGAAAGAGATGAACAAATTGATCCAAAAGATGTAGTAGACGTATTTAGAGGTGGTAAAACTGCAAAAATAAAGCAAAAAAAATGGGATACTTTACCAGTATATCTAACTGAAAAAAGAAAGGTATTAAAAATGAAAGAATTAATTTAGTTTGCTTTGATAGATTTAGTAGTTTGTAGACTAGTTCAAGAAAAATCATATTGCGAAAAATATTTGAAGGTAATAAATATTTATCAAGTAATATTATTATAACAGGTGTAGCATCTGGTGCACAAGCAAATGCTAATATGCAAATATAGTACTATTATGTTAAATAAATGCATTATAATTTATAATTTTGGCAGAAATTATAGTAAAGTTGTTATTGTTACACAAAAAATAAAAAAATTTGTCACATATATTATATTAAAAATGATCGACATTGACTCTACCCTTAAAGAATAATAAAATTTAAATTTTATTAATTATATCATATGATACATAATAGACTTATTAATCAATACTAGATAAAAATAAAAAAAATAGAAAATAGTAATTATATATCTATTAAGAATTAGCATTTCTAGTTCAATTAGTAATAATTAAACTCCTATTGTAAATTATATTACAATAGTCTTAAATTCAAACCTCAGTTAAAATAATATGATTTTTATAAGATTTTCATTTATAATTGAATATAGAAATATATAGTCATCCCCTTTAGTCACATCTCTTAGGACTAAAAATAGTAAGTGTAATTATAATAAAAAGTTACTATAAAGGGAGATTTTTATATAGTTCTAGAAGAGGTTCACTATAAAAATACTATGTTTATAAAGGGTTTTTTATATAACATTAATAGATATTAATTCTTATAAAATATATTTATAATAAGAGATTTATATTATTTAATTATACAAGGGTCACTATAGAAAAAGATGATTGTATATATATTAATATATATTAAAAAATTAGTTGATTGATTCATTAATTAATATTGGTTATGTCTAAATACTAGATTTAAAAAATAATTAAATGCAAATAAAATTAGTATCAATAAAAACTTGGTCTTTACTGATAGGTCTATAATAAATATTATTTTATATCTTTAAATAACAGGGTTCTTGTTTCATAAAAAAGTAATTAATCAATAATTAGTAAATTGAATTAACCTACAGGCGACGATCAAAATTATCTGGCTAGTTTATTTTACTGAAATTATGCAGATCATTACGCGTTAATATAATGTAAATAACACGTGATTTTGTATTTATAGTTTTGATAAACATATCTCTAACTTCATTTTTTTCTAGAATCTTCTAAAAAAATGAAGCCACTTACCATAAAAACATGTGATGCAATTGTGTATGGTTATAATTGCAGACATTCAAGTTGTATAATTGCTTGACGCTTGATTGGTCAGCCTAAAGTCCTGATCTTAACTTGATTGAGAACTTTTAGGCAGAGATGAAAATAATAGTTTGTCGACGTATTCTACCACCATTTAATATTAAAGTTCTAGGAAAGTATGTCAAAGATGTATGAAACGATATTCTTTCGAAATATTTTAAAAAATTAATTGATAATATGCTTTGAAGGATTGAGGTAGTTATTTTCGCAAATAGAAATAGAATTCATTATTAAATTTTTTTATAAATTAATAAACTAAGTCATAAATAAAAACATTTATCATAAAATTTAATTTTTATTATATTTAACATATGACATTTTTTTAATTTAAAAAGTGGCCAAATAATTTTGATCGCTGTCTGTAATAATAGGATTACCATTAATAATAGATTGCATTAAAAGTCACAGTACTATACTGATCTATCTGTCACTAGAATTAGAGATTAGGTTCAATTTTCAGGTAAATTTAACAATATAAATATGACAGTCATTACCTTTATAGTTTTATATAAGAATGATAATTCTTAAAGTATAAATTTTTATAGGTTGTTTTATCATTAAACCTACTTGAGACCAGATAAAAATATACTTTCTAATAAGGTTATGGTATAACAAACTCTATAGCTAAAATGATTCCTCTATCTTAATTTAAAGTAAAATCTATGGTATATAATTACTTGTTTCATGTGTGATGACAAGTATTTGATGTCTATAAAACAAAAAAGATAATTATATATCTATTAATTTACATTTATAAAATTAAATAAATAATATTATTAACTTTAAATTTAATATTATTTATATTTACAAATGATTATATCAAATAATATATTTAATTTTATAAACAAATGCATTATTTTTTTCTTTTTAAAATTAATTTTATATTACAAACTGCTATTTTTTTTTAATATCTAAAGCTAAAATAGTAATTATTTGCAACTATTTGTAAATAATTTCTATTTCATATTTATACTGAAATAATAATAATTTTGAAAATTTATAATGTTACTACTTATAAACTTTATTGTTTTATTTAAATTATATAAATAAATAAATTTGACTGTGATTTATCATAAAGCATCAAATTAATTATACTATATTTTTAAGTGTTTCTGAGTCCGAACTATATAAATTGGACTCTGAACAAAGAACCCAACGAATGTAGTATTCTTTTTTTGTGATCTCTACTGAAATCCTTTTTGCCCAATGTGAAATGCATTTCGAACTACGTATGAGAGTAGACTCTATTTCGAATTTATGTGAGATAAACTCAGTAATAACAAAATTGGATAATCAATCTTCTTTTTATGATTTGCAGTCAAAAGTATTGCATCACACGAAAAATCGCAAACTTTTGTTATTACAGGGTCACAACTTATTTATTAGTCGTCTATTTAATGGTTATGCTTTACTTTCGTTATTTTTTACATAAAAAAACTAGTTTACCAGGTCGTATTTCCCAATCTGAATTACGTGAATTGGATTCAAATCTGGCAAAAAATGACGTAACAAATGTATTTGAAATGGATATTTCACTTTATTTGATTGCAATAAATGTAATTTTTTTTAAAGTAATCACTATAATCATTTATTTGAATTCATATTTTGACGTTGAAGATAAAGCTCTTCGACCCATGATTTTACAAGAGGATGATTAAATTTCCCCCTCGTATTTTCGAAAAATTCAGTAAGATCTTTTTTGTCTGCTATAATAGGAGATTTGACGTTAAATTAATGCAATATATTAATAAATTATAAAAAGGATGTCTAAATGACTAACATTTCTCATATTCGAAAGCTTGTAAGATCATTTCAAATTTATCTAAATCTTTTACGAATTTTGCTTCCATCGTTTCACCATTTTCATATTCTTGCCACAACGAAAAAATCTCTCGAGATTGTAAAGAATCCTCAAGTAATTCTTTACAAATATATTGCATTGCCTCCTAAATTTTTTCAAATCAAAAAAAAAGATATTATAATTATGATTTTGAAAAAAAAAACAGATCTTTTCAAAAAAACTTACCATTTCTCTTCGATTTTTTTCTTGCTTTGTGATCCCTTCAAATGGCGTTATATCTCCCTGAATGAAAGAAAGATCAAATTCACTTTAATACATCACGAATATTATATAAGTTATATCAATAACTTACCACTATGCCTTCAGCTAAATCATGAACAACTGTCATTTTAACACATCTAATCGAATAAATAAATAGAAGATATTAATCTAAGGTTTTTAAATTGGCGCGAGATACGTTTTCGCTTACTTATTCTTATCCAAATTATCGTCATTCGATAACAAAGCTAATATAGACATTCTATGCATATGATCTGATATTGATTCAGGATTCTCAATATTTTTAATAACCCATCCAGTACGTTTTGTTTTCTACGAATTAAATATGAAAATTTTAAGCCTTTTGTTTTCAAGCAACAAAACTCGTGATTTGTTCTTTGTTGGTTACCTTTAACTTCTCGATAATGTGAAAAAATTCAAGTAATTTTGTAAAATTACCAACAGGAGTATTGATATTATTTTCCATCCTAGATAAAATGACTAGTCATATGGTCAAAATTTGAAATACGTGAGGTGCTTATTACTTTTTTGTCAGCGTATCGAGACTATATTTAGTTAACATAAATCCTAATATCGGTTTAAATATGAAATTTTTAGTCACGTGGTTATTCGTCGCAAACACGTTTTTTTTTATCTAAACGAGGATCTTCAATTCGAAAATATGGGGTAAGTATTGCCTATTGTTTACAAATATTGTGAGGACGTAGATATTAAAAATAGGTTTATTTTCATTAGGGTTGTTAAAGTCTTAGGTCCTAGACTTAAAGACCCGGGTCTTAAGACTAGACACAGTCCTAAATAGGTCCTAACCAATTAAATTTTAGTTTAAAAAAAAAGTTATAAATTATATATTATTAAATGTAACGCGTATCACCTTATATAAAACGCCATTTTTTTGTACAATGAGTTCAGAAAACTATGATAATAATAATCTTATTGACAATAATAATAGTTCACCTTTTTATTTAGACACTAACATTAATAAAAATGAATTAGATATATCCTTTATAATTTTTATAATAAGGGAGCTTACATATATGACGTAATTATAGATTACTATAGATCCGACCGGGTGAGACTATGATATCACGTGATAGTTAAATTTTTATTTTAGCCAATCATTATTAAGCATTACATTTCATATTTACAATAAAGAAAAAGATACTGTTAAAGGAAATGAAGTGATCTTGGGGATTTTTGATTTCTAAATACTACTATAATTATGGCTTTGAAAATTTCTATGCAACAGTTATCCAGCAAGCTTATAGAAATTACAAGAAAAGACCTGAATTTTTGGCAAAATGAGTTTGGAAGATAGTGAGAAATGATGGTACTCTCGATGGTATGAAGTTTTTAGATATATACTATTAAAAGATTAAGCTGCTTTTTTAAGAATTCTGAATAATTTAATTGTTATAAACTTAAAAGTTGCTAATATTAAAATTTAATTTGCCTTTATGATGTTAATTAATGCAACTTTTGCTAGTGTATGTTTGCTTAACTAAAGATTCTTCAATGATTTGTACCTAAAAAATTTTAGTATCATAAATTATTTAATAAGATAGATGATTATTTACCTTGTAACCCTTCACATTTTACTTTATTACTATCTATCATTGAGCAGTTTATCATCATCTATGTAATCAGCATTAGTTTAATTTAATAAAATAATAAACTTGAATTATAATTAATATTATTTTTATATTGATATTATAAATAAAAAACATTACCTTTATAGTATCAGTTCATAATTTTATCGTATCTTTCACAACTGATACACGTGACTTATCATTAATATTCGTCATATTTATAAATGTAGTACTAATCATGTTTTTAATCACCACTTTTTAATTTCTTTATCCAAAACCTTAGTATACAGTCTTTTCTAACTACACCAAAATACAACAAGTTTTATATTTATAAAACTTATATAAATCAATACTAGAGGTTCTGTAATACTTTCAATTATCAACGTATGGTAAAACGCAAAAAATCCTGTTTATCCAAAAATTAGCTTATGTACAGAATATACTAATGCGTAAAAGGAGATTCAGAATAAACTTCAGGAGGAAATCAAAAATAAAATCTATGAATATTTGGTAACTCTGATTCTAATCTAAAGCTTTTTGCAAACTAATTATTCACGAGCTAACCCGTCTCAAAGTTCAAAGTCTACTCGAGTTATTTAAAAGCTAATAGAAGAGATTATTGTAGTTGATACCAATCCACCTCCCAATGCTGCTACACAAAAAAAACCATAGAAATTATCAATACAACTAATATAAACTTACAGAACTTCAGCATCTTTATAATTCTACTAATGATTTAGAAATTTAATGTAACCTAATGGAGCACATAGCAAGTCTCAAGGAAATTTTACACAATAAAGATAATAAAATTAAGAAATTGAAGCGTCAGGCAAGTTATCAACGTAAAAGTAGGGAAAAAAAAGCGAAACTTTTACAAGAAAATCAAGAAATAATAAAATACGATTCATCTGATCATCTACTTCTTTTAATTCAATATCTTGATTTATATAAACATATACATGAATGTATTAAATTTAGAGCTGCAGATAAAAAAAGAAGAAAAGAAGTTATTAAAGTTAGGACCATCCGTCATCTTCAAGAAGAACTCAATTCAAAATATAATGAATATCTTTCCCATACCACCCTTAGTAATTACCTGTTACCATCTTGATCAAATTCTATAGCAGCAAAGGTTCATCACCATCTGGCTAATATTGCAATTACGTTTGTTTCTCAAAATGAAAAAAAGGAACATCCCAATGAACATTATTGTCTTGCTTCTGTAAAAGGAGCAAAATAATTCACTGTCTTATTTACAACCTATTTTGTTATTGTTTCTCAAGTTAACAAAGCCAAAATTACTTTTGGCATCCCTACGATCGGAAGAACTTTTCAAATAATACAAAGTTTTCGAGAATCAATTACATTACCTGATCATTATTTTCTGATTGAAATGCAACAAAAACTTATCCTATCGGTCTACTTACTCATTAATTCAAGTGATACAAATGACTCTTTTTGTAATGACCAATTTTTGATTTTTATACGTTCACAATATCAAATTGGTACAAGCTCAACCTCTTATATGAGTGATCTAAATTCATTAACAAAAAACAATTATTTTGATGGAATACTAAAAGTCAATAGTTAGATCAAACTCATTTGGATTCTTTTAGTTGACAGAGTCTCTGATAAAAATCCACGCCACATAAAGAATATCTTTCAATATTGTAGAATGTTCTGTGTATTCAATCTTGATTATCTTTTATTCAAATGCATGTACCTGACCAATCAGCATACAATCTTGTTGAGCGTAGTATAGTGATACTCTCTCAAAAGCTAGCTGAAATAACATTACTAATTGATAAATATAGTTCTCATCTTAACTCTTAAGGCCAAGTGGTTAACTCAGAGCTTGCAATAAAGAATATACGTTACGTTGGTGAAGCTTTATATACTCTTTGGAATCATGATCTTATCTTCAAAAGATCAGTTACAATACAGTATATTGATCAAAAAAGCTCTCTATTCGAAGATATCATGTTTTCTGCATGTAGTAAAGAAAATACTAAAGAATTGATTATATTCTGGCAATGATTAAAAAATCATACTAAGATGTGTCAATATTCTCTCAATATTAAAAAATGTGAAAATCCACTTCATTGTTTGCCTAAACATTACGAAGAGTTGGCTATCCTTCTTGCAGAAAATAATGGATTCTTTCCATCTGTAACAAAGGAAAAGATAGTCATTTCTTGAATCCGCTTCATATATTAGAATATTACGATAAACTCAAAATACCTGAATATGATGCTAACTGTCCTTCCATTAATTTAAACACTTATACTCATCTCTGCTGTTCTGATTGCAATGCATATTTTCTGACTCTTTTTATAGTTACCCTACATAAAAAAAATCAACATCCAAAATGACGAGGATGATCAGCTAAGTAAAAAAAGCTACTTACCAATTCTATCGATAATTTTCAATTGTATCTACATTAGCTGGACAAGTATTAGGCTTATATAATTAGAAAACACAATCAGATAGTGAGTAAGGAGGTTATTAAAAAGTTGGGACAGATTTTTTAAGTGATAGAAAAAAAATGTTAGTAAATTTGTAATATGCTAAATCATTAAATCATGTAAATATTATATTCTACTAATACATAAATTGTTCAAGAAAGTCTAATTCATCGATTAAAATATTGTTGTTGTTGGAATTTGTTGTACATTTTTTGAATTTGTATGTTTTTTTTTTTTTTTTTTTTTTTTTTAAGATGACATGTGTCAGATTAGATTTATTATTAGATTATTATTGTACAAGATCACAATATATTATGTAGATCATTTGATCTGAATCTTTATCCTGATTGGCTAATTATAAAAGTGAAATATTTGAAATCCCTTCCCTTTCTCTAATAATTATGTCATATATGTAAGCTTCCTAATAGGTTAAGTTATTTGATGAAACTTCATTTATTACATCAAATACAAGAGTTCACAAGACTCACGAAGTTCACAAAACTCTTAAAATTTATAAAAAACCTCTTTTTTATGGAATTACATAAGTTATGAAACTTTAACTCATTCAGGAATACCTGTATGTATAAAATGTAATTTTACCTTCTCTCCTAAATTGAGTAATTCTAGTATAAAACGTAATTTATTAAACAAATACTAAATAAAATACCAAAAGTTAATAAAAAACAAACAGTTTTAAATTTTCAATATACTGATCCTTGACCTTCTAAAAAAAAGTTAAAATGAGATATAGTGGTTGTAATTTGATAATTTCTGATCAACAATTTTTTAGAGTTGTAGAAAATAAAAAATTCATCAAAATGATAAATACATTTGATCTATATTACAAGGTTCTAAACCACCATCAAGTTAAAGAAATAGTTATGCAAGAATTTGATAAACGTTAATCAAATATTGGGTATGATCTATGTAAAATATCTGATAAAGTTATATTTACTACTAACATATAGACATTAACATTAAATGGTGATTTATTTCTTGATTTAACTATTCATTATATTGACCAAAATTAGAATTTTCAACAGTTTCTACTTAATATTATTTTCTTTCAAATTTGACATACAGGAGTTAATATAGTAAATATAATTATTAGTATTCTTAATGAATTTAATTTAATAAATATAACTTTATCACTTATAACAGACAATAAGTCAGCAATAGTAGTTTGTAAAAAAAGATTAGCTGAAAAATTTGAACAAGCTTTAAATAGTTTTTCTTTTAAATATTATCGCTGTTCAGCTTATATTCTTAATCTCATAGTTTAATATAATATAGAAATAATTGACAAAGAAATATTAAATGTATGCAAGTTAATAACAAAGATTAAAAAGTCTGTTTTATTATGTGATAATTTATGCGAATTATATAATATAGAAAAACTTCAATATCTTCAG